CAATTAGTATAGCATAAAATCTTAGCTAATAACCTATATCCTAATAGCATACAAGTTTTAAGTTCTTAATTCTACAAGGTAATATTTAAAAAATCCTGAATTTCCCCTAGTGTGACACATTTTTTCTAGGCATCTTCTTTTGTCTATTTTATCCATTACCACTCCAAAAAGGATGAAATTAAATGTAGATTACTCACTATAAAATCATCATTGCTCAGACAAACCATAATTTTTATATCCTTCAATTTAGTTTGGTTACAGAGCTATCAAACAGAAAATCAGACCCCTCCTGCCACATCCTCTCTTTCAGGATTTTTTAATAATTCTATCTTAAGTTTAAATTTATATTACTTACAACCAATAGAAAGCCAAGGTTTTATCTATAAAATGATGTATTGTATAACATTGTGTTCTGAACAAATAATTGTCAATTTCACACAGAGTACAAGTTCCATTCCCATGGGAAAGCTAACAACTAGCTTGGATGAATTTGTAACAGCTCTTGTCGCATAGTTAGAGCCAGAAAAATTTTGAGAGTTAGGAAAAATTGTCTACTTTTTGCATGTTATTAGTCTATATTCTTTGGTGCATTATTTAATTAAATAAAAATTATTTGGTGCATTACTACCATTAGTATAAAAAAGTAGGGTTAAATGTCATCGACAATCAACAGCAAGAAAAAAAAAAGATTGGATATGTCCTTTATTTTTTGTTTTTCTATTAATTCTTTATTTATTATTATAAATGTAAAAATAAGGATCTTTTTAGGTTTGTTAAGATTAGATTAGGTAAAATAAATAAATATAATAAAAATGTTTCATCAGGCAAGCACACAAGCAGCTTGTAGTAGCTTGTGGGTAACGTAAATCGATAGCGTAATGCGAGTTGCATATTTCCAGAGTCTTATACAACTGTTAATGGCCCAAATAATAGTTAGACATGGTTCAAAAGATGTATACTATTACAAATTTAAAGCTACTTAGGATAAACGAATGTAGTTTCATGCTACATTTGAAGTGATTCTAAAAAGAAAAAGAGAGTAATTTAAATACATTTAGATTTTTTTGGTGGTTATGAGGTCAGTCAAATTGACCAACTTCATACAGAGTTAGAGTAGAGAAAATAACATATAAAGTTTTACTGAAAACAAACATCTGAAATGTACTTATGATGTTTTAGAGATTACACAAATGAAATGTGAGATTTTTGAGATGAGGAAAAGTATTTTTAACCTTAACATGAAAATCACTTTGCATATGGACTATTCAAAACAAATACTCAATCTATTCATGGACAAATATTTAGTTTACTTTATTAAAAATACTTCACTAAAAAATAAGATTTTTTTGTATGTGGAAGACTTATAATGTTAACTGAAAGACTGCCAAATTTTGTTAAGATATACAGACTATATTGAAAGTTAGAAGTATTAAATCTAAAAAGACTTTAAACGAGTACAAACAGGTCATGTGGTTGGTCAAATTGACCGAGCCTGTGTTGAGAGAGTTAAATTGTATTTAGTTCTTACAATTACATTTTAGTTATTTATGTATTAGTTATGTTTTAAAATGCATAATTAAAAAGTTTAAACACTTTTTAAATATACATCATACTTTTCTTCTGTTCTCAAAGCTTACGATATTACTTGCTGAACAAAAATTTTGAAGAGGGTTGCGCATGTATCCCAAATAAACTGTAATATGCCTAGGGGCACTGTTGACTTGTGTCGAGATGAATAATAAGTGGTAAAGGACAAGAAAGGAAAATAAAAATTAGCTATTTATATATGAAAAGGAAAAGACCTGAAATTATGAATTTAACAACAGAAAAATCTTAAAAGATATTCTACAAAAAATTTAAGTATGTGTATTCTTTTTCTATTTCCCAATTCTAATTATTTCATTGCATTGTACAATGATGATAATACCTAGTTATTGATATGGTAGAGAAAATGAAAAATAAAATATAGACATTTACCTTAAAAAAAAAATATTTGATATCCTTTTAGGAGGTTCTAGAAATTATGCAAATAAAATATAAAAAGTATAAGGTGAAGAAAGGTATTTTTATACTTAAAATGAAAATCACCTTGCACTTGATTTGTTAATAGTTTGAATGAAAGTGACTATAACAGAAAAATAACATTTTTAGCAAAAACACATAATTATAAAACTGTCATTATTTGTTTACAAGATACTTATGATCTTTAACAAAATCTTACCAATTTTTGAGAGGATATGTTACTGTATGTCTTGCTGTACAAGTGAAATTCTTGAATTCTGCAAATTGCACAAGATGACTAGGAAAGGGTTAATTTAGAAGGTTTATTAATCTATTTTTATGAAAACATTTGGTTCAGAAGTACTGTTAAAGTTTTATTAAATTCCTGAGCTGGTCAATTCTAACAAACGTTTCTAGGTTAACACATTTCAATTTATAATATTCATATGAACCAGCTCGTTTATATTTCATATCAGATAATTAGTTAAGAAAATCCCAGACATATACATTATGTTTATTTTATTTTGTATAATATATATAATTATATTTACACTACATTTTGCTTACAAAAACCAAATATGTTACACGATGCTGTTGTGAACTAGTTGTGTCAAGATTGAACTTATTCTCCATGACAACCAGAAGTCATTTCGTCTTACTTCCATTCATCATTCCATCAAAACAACATTCAGCACAAGGTTGTGTCACCATATGCTAATGTCATAAAATAGAATATGGTGAAAAAAGATGTTTCTATTACAGAAGCTTTTAACAGTGAGACTAATCTTGGAAGCAGCCAACCTTGGCTTTACATAAAAGACTATTTTTAATTTGTTTGAAGTAAAAGTGCAAGTGGATCCCAATTCTAAAGTTTTGTTGCAGTGTAAGTTGTGTTTGCCCAAAAATGAATATTTACAGTGCCAATAAGAAATCACTTTTTAATCTGGATTAACACATTAATTGCAAACATTCCCATAAACTCAAGGATTTTGAATTGAGCATCAAGAGAGGAACAGAGGTAAACAGGTCAAGCAAATGGTCAAATGAAGCAGCAGAGATAGAGACTCATACTTCTAGTAAGAGAAAAACTGGGAAAAATGAAGCAGAACAATCAACTCTTGGAGACTTCATTGCTGCTAATGCTGAGAAGGTTAACCATTGTAAAATAAGTGCACTCATAACTGATTTGATCATCAAGGAAATGCTTCCTTTCAAATTTGTTGAATCGCAAGCTTTTAAAAATCTTATTCAGACATTACAGCCAAATAAAACAGTTTTTGGTAGGAAAGACCTAACATGAGCAATTAATGTTCTAGCTGCCACAACAGGTAATTTGTAATAAATTGTTAAAATTTTTCCTTTTATGGATAATAAAAATTATTGTTGTTTCTGAAATTTAAAATATCTAATAGAATGAGACTTGAAATAAGCTACAGCAGAGCATCTGCAGTGAACATTCACTAGTTTAGCTTTGTATTGTTTACTTTTACACACTCGAACTGGGCATGACTATCCATTGGATTGACCCAGAAAGTCTGAAGAGGGAATATACATCACTTGCTTGCCACTGTCCCACTGGTCATCACATCAATGGCTTGATTGCCAAGGAACTGAAAGCAATTCGCATCAAATATTGCATTCAAAACAAGATTACCAAGACCACTACTGAAAGTGGGTCCAACTTTGCTAAGTCATTCAGGTTAGTTACAGTATTTTTATAGTATATTTTGTTTATTAGTATATTTTATATCCATGAATAATATACATTAATCTTAATCAATATAAATAATATGCTTTTGTCGGTCTGTCTGAACTTTTTTTTTGTAAATTTCTCAATCAAATGCTACAAATCTCATATTATTAGAAAGGACTTTGTCAGAGTCCAGATTGCACAGACAAAATTAAAATGAGCAACTTACTTTGAATTTTGTATGTCTTGGAGGGGTGGTGAATAAATTCTCACACTAGAGGAAATTCAGGATTCTTTTTTGCCTTATAAGTTAGAAATTTAAGAACTTAAAACTTATATAATATTAAGATATGGAGTATTAGCTACATTTTTATGCTATATTTATTCATATATCATGACAATAAAGTAATTTAATGAAATTTCGTTTGTAACTCACTAAAATCTCATGTCCTGCACAGAAAAAGATGACTGTAGTGAGAGAGAGAGATATATAGTTACACTTACGTGAGTTTGTCTGTCCACATAAATGTTTTTCAACTAGAACAGGATTTATCGATCTAACACATAATGCCTGAAAGAAAGTATACCTCAAATGCTGTGCATAAAAATTATAGAATAAGGAAAGTTCAAGCAAGGGTATGAAACTACCACAAATGTTTTGCGGGTTGAGGCTAGTGTATATTAATACTAGTACTATTTCTCTATCTCACATTCTGATGATCGTGGTTTTTCTGTCTATGCTCCTAAGCTTTGGAACACTCTCCCTATCAATCTGCAATGTGCAAAGTCTGTCAGGTCTTTTAAAAGTCTTTTGAAGTCATATTTCTTTCACCTGGCTTTCAACTAATATAGAGACTGGTCAGTAACAGGCACTTTGAATGGCTAGAGGAGTGCTGTGTAAGAAACTAAAATATTATTATTATTATACCATGTCAATACCATACCAAGATGGTGCTACTAAGCCATGCCACACATAATATACACATCTCGTTTTATATTTTACTCTTTGTTTTTGCAGAATCTTCTCCACTGAATCAAGGGCTGAACCTGTAAATAGTGATGTAGAGTATTCCAAGGCAGAGAGCAAAGCACACTCAAGTCAAATGATGAAGAATAAGAAAATGAGATAAAGTTTCAAAGCATTTCCAACATTGTTATTAGTGAGACAGAGTCCAGTGAGATTTACTTTCTTCCCAAACATCTTCAGTGTGTGGCACATACACTCAATTTAGTAGCAACCACTGATGTAGAAAAGGCTTTGTGCAATGGTACATTCAAGAAAGTGTCCTAATCGGCATTTGCGAAGGCCCAGATGCTTTGGAACAAACAGAGCCACAGCACCATAGCAGCTGACCTCATATAATAAGAACTAAGCGAATATTTTGTTGTTCCATGTGCTACATGGTGGAGTTCGATGAAGGATGTGTCCATTCTTATGAAGAGCATAATAATGAAGAGAAAGGGTTCAGTCAATAAAATGTGTGAAAAAGACTTCTTCATGTGCCTTAAACAACAAGCAAAATTTGTAAGTAATTCATCCCAAAGTAGCAATGACCAAATAACACTGTTCATGAGCAAATAACTATCTAATTCAAAAGATATACAATCAAGTCATTCCCTTCACCAACTTTTAAATCTCACTTCATTTACTTCAATATGCTCATTCCATCAAGTGCAACTGTAGAGCACATTTTCTCAACAGGGAAAGACATTTTGAAGCCAAAAAGAGCTGGATTGATGGATGGCAAATTTGAGAAGTTGATGCTACAAAATTAAATAAATTAAAACAATAAAGGTATTGTAAGGGACATAATATCTTCTAATATTAGAGATTTATTATTTCATATTAGCATATTAGCTCAGTTATTATTACTACTATCATCATATTCATATAGTTTTTGACAATGTGTTCTTTAAGTACTATCATTGAATGTATGGAAGACTGTATGGTTGTTAGCTCATCACTCACTAAAATGGAAAGGCTGTTCTGAGAGATCTGTATTATATTATTGTAGCAATAAATTAATATATAACATTTACTAATAAATTTTCATTTTTCATTCTTACATTATCCATTGAAAAAAAAAATTATCATGAAAACCGTCAGTTTCAAAAGTAGCAGAAGTGATAGTGCTGTTATATTTATAAATATGTAGTAACAACAGTAGCACCACTGTATTTTCTGCTGTAGCAATAGTACTGCTCCATTGAAGAGGTAGCGTGCACAGCTATGGCCGTCAGTTACTACGTGGAAAATTATACTTCAGGGAAAAGAAAATAATTGTTATCGCATACATTAAAACAAATACTTAGAAGTTAATTCTGCAAAAATTAGGAACCTTGGAAGTTTTAAGTATGTTATTGTTGAATAAATAAATTTTATGTATCTGAAATAAAATATCTTAATATGAAGTTTATGAATTATTTAATATTCATTTTTATTATTCAAAAAACAAAACCTTAAAAAATTCAGTTTTGTATATTACTGAGATAGCATTTACCTTTACAAATAAGTTCAGAAAGGAAGTTTTGGCTACAGAAAATAGACTTAGGTAGAGCTAGGCATAGGTCACCCTCACTGTGACCTATTTAGGTTGTTCATTAAAAGGTGGTTCAATTAATTCTACTAGTTCTTTCATGAATATAACTAATATCTAACAGATACAACACATAAACCTGTCCAAAGTAACTACCTCATCTTCTAATTAATGGTTTACATGTTTACCTTTATCCAGTACTTCTGAAAAGAGGTAAGTCAATCTTCGAAATAAATTAACATGAAACATAGTGAAGGTAATTTTGTGGTGGTATTTAACAGTGTTTCTAGGATCTTGTACAAATCAATTATACATAAATAGCCACACAATTTCAAAAACAGTCTAATATAAAAATCTTGGTGTTTGCTTCTCAAAAATTCACAATCATTTACTGTGATGTCTGTGAACCATGATCAAAGTACGCATTATACTGTTGCTTTATGTTAACTGATCTGAGACCAAAGTTAATTCTGCATGCTAGATTATTGTATTTATTGCCAAGTTGAAGCATTCTAATTTTAAAAAGATTTAGTTCTCAATAGTATTTTTCAACCAATTCTTCTAATGTACAATTACCAAACTACACTTGTTCATTTATACCTAGTGCATGTTAATAAACTTAACTGTAAGAAATATTGTGTTAACAAGTTAGTTCATTTGTAATTAAACTTAAAACATACACCACAGAAATGCAAAAGTCTAAACTAAGATTAATTGTCTTCTAATCAAATTAATTTAAATTAGATTTCAAAATGTTTAAACAAACATGGTCTATTAATTGTTAATGTTCTTTGTGAGATGAGAAAGAATTAATGCAAGTCAAAACTTTAATCATTTGAATCCAAGTGATCTTTATTCTTTACATAAATACTTGCACACAAACTAAGATATTTACAGGCTTCTCATGACTCATTTTCTCACAAAAAATTTAATGTCATCTTTCATATGCAAAATTTGATTCATTAGAATTTACAATGAAACATAAATACCTGAACTAGGAATAAGTGGCCATGGGCAACTGTTTTTATGCCCTTCTTTCTGTAAAAGCTTGATAAGCTCCATTACACATTCTTGGTCTAATAAGGAGAGCAAATGCATTAAGTACTATTCATATTAATGTATACAACAGAAACTGATGAATAATCATTAAAATTATAGATTTTTGTTGATAAAGATGTATCTTACAATGACTTTTATAAGATGAGAAACAGGCCAATGTCAAGGTGATCAGTAAAATATTGTTCACATAAAACTTTGGGCTGATTTGCCAAATATAGATTTTTTTTTATTGAAAAGCAAATTATGAATTTGTTAAGATCTTCTATTTTGGGAATTTGAAACTACTCTATCACAGACATTTACTCAAACTCATAAAGTATTAATGTTCCAATGACAATATTTTAAAGCATACTTACAAACAGCAGAAGATCTCCAAGGTTTGGGAAGATGACAACAAACAGCAGCAGCACAAGTCACACACTTAACCATATCTACATCCACACACTTCCAACCATACTGAGCACAAAATGCTGGTGACAAGTTTAAGGGTTTCAGCATCCAAACTGGAAACTGATCACATGTTAAGGACTTTATGAAAATCTGGTAATATTTTTCATATAGGCTACAAATGGTATTTATGTGTAGATTGTTTTGATCTTTCAAAAAAATACTTTCAATATACCCCAATATACAAATAATACTGGACAACAAAAAACTGGGTACTGGAGAAAACTCAGTGATTTGGAGTAATTTGATAGTGCTAATTTCAAAAATGTAGTCAGAATTTGTCCATGTCCTTTAGAATTTGGGTTATTTTAATATCTCAATATTTTATCAGCACTATGTGAAATACCATGCAATCAACTCAGTAAAATAGATTTATTCTGTGAAATTAAGTTTAGTTAATGGGTAAAAGGCATACATTTTTGATAACTTCAAACACTGATTGTATTGTATTGGTGTACAATTCCAAATATATTGGTCATATATACTACTTGTTATCAATATAACTGTGGCAAATTGCACCACTTCATTCCCACACTCACCTGCTCCACTCTGGAATCACAAAATCAATAACATGCTCAGTTTATTAGAACATATGAGAAGTCCTTCAACTGAGCATAAATGGGGCAGAGCCATACACCTCTTTCTCAATTGCCTCTTACTCACTCATTTGGTCACTTTGCCTCGCTCCACACACACACAGTCAAAACAAGGTCCGATCTTCTTTGTTTCATCATACTTGCAACATAATCAAATTCTGCGAAACTTTATTTTTTTAAATCTTTTAAACTCTCTAGTTCTGTAACTATAAATTATTTTACATCTTTTAGAAAATCATTTGAAATGCTGGTTGCCTCCAGTTCAAGTAAAGACCAAAAGTGCAAAAATCCCCCAAACAGTTTTTGTTTCATTCTTGGAAAATATATTCAAGTTTCATGAAGGAAAAACATCACACACACAAGGTAAAGGTAGCTTATTACCACTATTTTGGGTGTAAAATTGGTGACCAAAAAAACACTGGGCTCCACATGTGTTTTATACAGTTTGCAAATCTGGGTTGACACAGTGGCTGAATAAGAAGAGAGCAAGTATACAATTTGCAGTTCCAATGATATGGTGTGAGCCCACAGATCATCTAACCGAGTGTCATTTTTGCATGACTAATGTTTCTGGATATTCATACAATACATTAAATATCCAGACATTGCATCTGCAATGAAACCAGTACCTTATGGGGATGGTCTTCCAGTACCACATCTACCAGTGAATTGGGAAACAGAAGTTATCCTGAGAAGAAGACAATGAATCATCTTCATCCTCTTCATCTATAATTCTATACCTGTGGCACTTCAACGTAAACTACCTCACCTGATCACACAAAAAGTGCAAAATTATCTGATTCATGACTTGTCTCTATAAAAGCAGCATGGGGAACTTCTTGGCGCTTGTTTACAGCAATGGAATTTATTAGCTCTAGGAACAAGAGTTTCAATTTACTGAAGTCACAATCCAATTCTTGCTTCTCACTTCAGAATGCAAGATACTTTGTGCTTCTGTACAAATGTTGGTACACTAATGGAAGAATTAGGTACTGAACATCATCCTCAAGAATGAAGACTATTTATCGACTCATCTAAAATTAGTCTGAAAGCCGTACGTTTGCACATTGGGAACACTAAGCCATCGATTCCTGTTGCTCATACTGTGAACATCAAAGAAACTTAACAAAGCATGCAGATTATACTTGAGACCATCAAATATGATCAACATAGGTGGAGCATATTTGGTGATCTAAAAGTTATTGCACTCCAGCTAGGCCTGCAGAGTGGGTATACCAAACATTAACACTTTTTGTGTCTCTGGGAGAGCCAAGATGATAAAAAGCATTTCAAAAAGAAAGAAAGATCAGAGAGAGAATTACATACCAGAGAAACAGAATATACAGTATAAACCTTTAGAGAATCCTCAAAATGTGTTTCTGCCCCACTTCATATTAAACTGGAACTCATAAAAAATTTATTAAAAGGAATTAACAAAGCTGGTAATGGTTTCAGATAGATATCTATCTGACAAGTTTCCAAAAATAAGTGAAGCAAAAATGAAAGGAGGTATCTTTGTTTGAGCCATAGATTTGAGAAGTGCTGATGGATGATGACTTTGAAATAACACTCAATCAGAAAGAACTTGCTGCCTGGAAATCATTCAAACTCATTGTCAAAAACGTCTAAGGAAATCACAAGGATGAAAACTATGCTGTGATGATATGCTTGAGAACTACTGGAAAATGTATGTCTAGTATGTCAGTAAAGATGCACTTTTTACACTTTCATTAAGACTTCTTTCCAAATGATCTAGGTGCAGTGAGCAATGATGAGTGCTTCCACCAAGATATTTCTACAATGGAACAGTGATATCAAGGACAATTGAATTCTGCAATGATGGAAGATTACTGTTGGTTCTTACAGCATGAATTCAAGAACATACACAAAAGGTGCAACAAGTCAAGCAAATATTTTGTAGCAAAAAATATTACCATGATGAAAATTTTGAATATAGCCTGAATGAATTTTCAGTATATAATCTTATTATATACTCATTGCTTTTCTAAACTGGTGTTGCTATTATGTATTGTCTTTAAATGCAATTTTCAATGAATAAATAAAGTTAGTAAATAAAAAGTTATTTTCATGATATATAAGAATATTTTGAATAAATCTATCATAACTCAAATACTGGATGTGACAAGTGATTTTCAACATGGTTTTTAGAATCAACATCATCAAATTATTCAGAAACAGTTGCATTTTCTCTAGTAGAAGAGAAAAAATTTTGTTGTTGCCCAATGTAACCAGGAATAAATGTCGTATGTTTTGAGAAAATTATCTGGTAAATAAGTTGGAAAACTTACAGAACTATTAGAAAGCTATGGATTTGTTTAAAAAAAAGAAATTAGGGAATACAAAGAGGTTTATGAGAGACAGCTGGCTAATAATGTTAAAATTAACAGGAAGGATTTTGTAAGTTAACTCTCTCTCTCTCTCAACAGACAAGTCAAAGGGCTCATATATGTCATGATATTTTAGAGTTATTATCAAAGTTTAATTAAACAACTTTATTATTATTATTATCATTGAATGTCAATAAATTGGCATCAAAATGTAGTTGATAATTCAGATTTGAATATTATATACATTTTAATTTTTTAATTTGAAAGAAAACAATTTAAAAAAATGCCAAATATGTTTTTTTGTGTGTTATATAGCATGTCTTCTTGTTCAGTTTATATTTTACTAGCAGGCTACTCAACACTGCTCGGATGTAAATGGCTTTAACTATCCAGAGTTTTTTTTTATTAATTTCAATTAAAATAATAAAGTGCAAAAAATAATGATTTGCTAAAGTTATTTTAAATCAAAGCAAAACTGGGTACATTGCTCCTGCTTCTTGCATGTGCTGTGCATGACATTTCAAGTTTCCAAAACAAAATTCCCAACCTTTTGGTGTCCTGATTTCTGCTCTGTGTTCAAGTGTCATTTGCAGCATATTCTGATATTATTATTGTTCCATTTAATGAATAATTGATTTATTCTCTTCTTTTTGCAACACAGTATAAATAAAAATTTGCTGATACTATATGTTTTTGTAAAGTCATCATATGGCTGATTCTTGTGAGTAGACACAAGCAAAGCAAAAGACATGGCTGAAGCAAGCCTATTTAGTTGAGGAAGTGTGCACGCATGTTCGGGGAAAGCACCAGCCTTTTTTAGTTAAGGGGAGTTAAAGAGTAGGCATGTGTAGAAGAAAGTGAGAGGGAGAGATAAAGCACAAATGAAGGCTTCATGAAGTTTTTAACTCCCTTTTACACAATTGATCATGGATAGAATGATTAGGAGAGGTCCTCACACATAGAAGAAACATAAATAATAGCTCCCTTGATCACACATTCCCCAAAAAATCTGGCATTTTCAATTTGAGACCAATTGGTCATCCTGTTTGCTAAAAATTGCTATATTAGTCACTTTGGCCTCAATATGTGGCCTCAAACAGCCTCTGTGGCTTTGGCCACATAGCCCATTTTACTTCACGTACAAAGTTGTATCTGTACTTTGAGTTTGGAACTTTAAAGATGTTTACTTTTATTTAACTTTTTCTTTTTATACCAAAACACAGGTGTCACCAATATGTTTTCTAAATTGGAACAAAATTCTTGTGCAATATTTCACAAAATAGAGATAGTTATCTGATGATGGCCACATGAGTGGTTGAAACATTGTAAAGAAACAACAAAAACAATCCACTCAAAAGCTGTATCTTTGGACTTTTATTTAAAGTGTATAGTGGATATCCTCTCCTCACAAGTGTCACAAACAGGAAGAGGTTATTCCAAAGTTTATGAAATTAAGCCATCAACTACGAAATAAAGAAATTCAATCCATAATTGGAAAAACAGGAAAGAAGATTCTAAATGTAACAATTAGACAAAAATACAGAGACATTAATATTTTGAGAAAAGAAGATTTAAGACTATGTAACCTCCTAATTTTCAACACCACATCAGACGACTCACACATGCTGTTAGGAGTTATCAACTGAAACTGGATAAACCAAAGAGATAAAATAGAAATTAGACATACAAAAAAAAATAGTTGAGTTACTCAAATGAAGGAACTTGAAAGACAGTAAACACAACAACACAAAAATGGTAAATTTATCAAAAACAACCCTAACACCAATGCAAGAAAAGATTCTAAACAAAGGCTTAAATTATGCAATAACTCATAAAAACATTCTAACCTTAGAGATCAAAGCTGGAATAGAAGAGTTAACAAGAAAATTAGTCCAGTAAACAATCAAACAAAAAATAAGAACTAAAACAGCAAACAAGAGAGCCTCATATATTGAAATGAATAAAAGAAATAAAGATCAACAAGATAAGAACACGGACAATGAAACTATAAAGACATTTCAAGGCAAGAATAAGAGAATGTGGTTTTCTACAATACCAAATCCCAATTAAAAACTAAACAATTTCATCCATGAAATATTATGTAGAATTGAAGGTTATC